GAAAACAGTGTTAATATTTATATAACTGTGCATAATGTCTAGTAACAAGGCACGTTCAGGTACCATCGTAAATGTTAGAATCTGAAGATTAAGGCACTAAAACAGAGCTTTTGGACCAATTACTGTACTAATCTAATTACTGCATATTTCTGTAATGTAGGAATGAAATTTGTTTGATTTTATTGAAGCTGCTTTTTTATTTCATACATTAGACTAGGGATGTTCCAAAGTTTTCGGGCACAAAATAGTTTCGGACGAAAATGGCCCTAAAGTGCATTTTCGTTTTTCGGCCAAAAGACACATCACCCAAACAACACGGCTGAAACAGGAAGTTATGATGCTGCAAACAAAAAGCGCGGCCAGCACGGGCTTGTCTGAAAGTACCAACATCAGGCGCTGTGGACGTATTTCAATATATCTGAGAAAGACCCACGGATAGTGATTTGCAAAACATGAAATGCTTAAATTTCAAGAGGGGTCAAAAAGTCCACTCACAGAGTCTGTCAGCACACGTTTAACCGAGATCTACTCGGATCCTCTGTGTTTTGTCACGACTGTACTTGCTCCATGTTATAAAGATTATTACTTGGATGTGGGAATAAAGCAGCGTGCACGAAAAATGATCAATATTTACAGGATGACAAGACAGAGGTTAGTTAGACAAGCTGTGAGCACAGCGCTTTATTCAGCTTATTCCTTGCAACGCATACACTATGTCATCTGAATTCTATCTAAAGGTCAGATTTTACTTGCAGAGAAATTAAATTAGTAAAATGTCAATATCTAGAGTTTAGAAATTTAGTCTGCTGTACTACTATGACTATTACTTGTAGTAATAATAATAATAACCTCTACAGCAGATAATGCTACAATGATGGAAATTTTTCAAACCATATAGTTAATATAAAGGCTCTAACTGTATAAATCTCTATTCACTGTAAATGATATGACTTATCTGTGGGCCTTAAATGGACTGCTTTTTGTTTGACTTTCAGTACGGTTTGGGAGTTTAAACTGTGACTCAGTGGAAAGTTTGGGTTTAAAGGTCACATCTTCCTGGAACATAGCTTCACTGTTAAAAGTCTGCTGTGTCTTTGTGGAATTAATGTAAGGGTCTTGTGTTTCTCTCCGAGGAATCCAACTCAGAGGCCACAGAGCTCCAATGGAACTAAAAAAAAAAATCAGACAATTGGACAAAACATCCAACTCTGAAGACTGAGACAGTAAATTGTTCTTCTGAGAGAAAAGGAAAGAGGGTTATAGTTCGAGATCCCCCTCCCCAGCCTCCATTAAAAGCATTTCCCAGAGATGGCACAAAATAGCACATACTGAGTCATGAAGAGAGTGCAAGAGAAAAAGAAAATACAATGCGGGAATAAAGTGCTGCTTTATTCCCGCATCCAAGTAATGATTATCTCATCCCTAAGATACTGTGTACATGTCAGGCATTAAGAGTTGTGGGAATTTGACAGGAACAACAACATAGCAGTGTGGTAGGAAGAGCAGAGACAGCAGTTTATAGGTTGATAAAAGTATGAGGAAGAGAACATGTTTAAAGCCCAGAAGAAGAAAGATTTATTGTTATAGCAGTTGCCGGGGAGACGGACAACAGTAAACGTAGGTGGAATGTTCAACTATTAAATAAGATCAGCGTCAAGGCCATGTAAAAAAGTTTTTAAAAAAGTTCTGCTCAGATGAGTTTTAAAGAACAGCGAGTATTCTGATGCGTATTTGCGTGCAAGTGTATGTCGTGGTAAAACTGGTGAATACATACTTGATGATATAGGGTGGTTGTGGCCTGAGTGAAGATAAAATCTGCGGCAGATGGGTGTGGAGATTTTTTGTTGACAGGTTTAAAAAAAGGAATGAGGGCGGAGACTAGGGTGCTGTTAAAAGAAGCTTTGTGTATACAGTGTTTTGAGTACTTATGTAGCATTAATGTGGTGCGAACCATATATTCAAATTAGGGCAGTGGGATTTGAGTAAAGTTGGCAATATTAGAACTCTGGAATTTTTAAGGAAAAGTAGTTCTGAAGTGCGTATTTTTTTAATCTTAAACCTGGACCTCATGATAGCAATAGCATGTTTTTAATAAATTAAATGAATTAAGGGAATAAAAAGTGCAAACACAATTATTGTCAATTTAAGTATCATGGGCTCCTGATCGCGTTTCTAGTTTATCAGGAATGTGAACTATCCTACAAATATCTCTAATATTGGGGTAGTCTTATTGTAAGGTCAGATGTTGGTGTGAAGGTGTAAGAGAATAGAATATAATATTCTTTAATGTCATTAGAACACGGGGGTACATTGAAATTGAAAAAGATAAACGCTGCTATAATTTAGTTCTCAATAAGACCCTTTTAAATATATTAAAAGCAAGACTTGATTCCTTTATACACAATCTTTTATTCTTTTGAAACTTATTTGTGCAGTGAAGTGTCACTCAAGTGAACTGGATCACTTTAGCAAGTGACTCAGACTAACGCCAGTCAATAAAATAAACCACATTTACCAGCAATGGTGTGCATTTCTTATATCCAGTGAGGATTCTGGGGTCCTATAAATGTTTTTATTATTTCTTGTGGAAAATATTTTTTTAACAGGATTATGATAACATCAAATCTACCAAGTACCTAGTTCACATTTCACAGGCGTTCCAATAGAGCAGAGAGAAATGGAAGAGGTCCTGATAAAGGGGCCGTGTTAAAGAATGTCGGGAATGTGATATACCCAGCCCAAAGAAAAGCACGGACGACTGATCACACATTATGCAACGGACCGCAGATAGGCCCCTGCCTGCTCGCCTCCTTTTGTTTAGAACACCCTCTGACAGGAGCTTTTTACATTAGAGCCCCACGTCTGTGCATGAAAGTTATTTCACTTTATAGACATAAGAATGCTGTCGGGGCCTTTGCATATCACAAATTGAAAATCTAAATCTATAATCGTAGTACACTAAACCCTACAATTTACAATAGAACAAATAAAACCACCATCTGTATATTTTTTACATAACTAAATGTAGAAACACAAGACAAAGTATAAAGCAGACCATACGTATTGCTAGCAATGAAAACATGTTAACGGTGATGGGTTAAAAGCAGAGGCTCAATTTCGTTGTATCCCTGTGTTACAATGACAATAAAGACTATAAAAAAAAAGACAAAAAGAAGATTAAAAACCTAATTGCAGGGACTGTTGCCGGGCAAAATGTCAGCCTCACGTTAGAAAATATCAAATTGGCAAATACTGATTCGTGACAGTAACTTTTTTGTCATCCTGCACAGAACTATAGATGTATGATGTGGAACGTTGATAGAAATTTTTAGATGTACCTGGTACTTTTGACAACTTGTTGTGTTTAAGTGCCCGAGGAGCAGTGTGTGGGGACAGTGCCATGCTCAGAGCATCTCAGTAGTAACTTAGTAGCTGGTGGACTCGAACCTGAAGCCTTCCAGATGCTCTCTTTTCCTCTTTTT